CTCTACGAAAGGCAAGAGGACAAACCCACCCAGACCGGCAGGATGCTCAGGTCCTGCGCACACTGTTCACACAAATGTCCTTCGGGGAGAGCGGCTGAGTGCTGAGCATCCCAGGGGATGACCGTGACACCCCGGGAATTTGTGCCAACAAGCAATGAGCAATTTTCTACACACCCATACACACCAAAATAACTGCTTTGTAACAGATTCCTGCCCTGAGCCCCTCCAAGGCCACTTGACAAGTGCAACTGGGGACGTGGCAGCGGGCAGGACAGCCGAGTCTTGCACCCATCTCTGATCCTCGTGCCCCAGCATGGCCAGTGATTTAACACAAATCAGGGCTGCCTGAACAGTCCCCGTTTCAAAAAGGATGGACGTTTCACCACATTTGAAAACCAAGTTCCAGCAGAAGATCTCCAGGTTTGGTGCTTCACGGTCAAAACCAGTCCAAGTCAATTTTTGAAAATCCAGCCCCCCACCTCCGCACATGGTGCAATTCATCTTGCACAGGGTGAGATTCACGTTGGCCCTTTTGCACCCCACGTTTAGAGGAGATCCCAAACAGGGGGGCAGCGCCAGGCTCCAGCGCTCCCACATCATCCCCAAGGTATCATCCCTTTGCAACCCTGCTGGCCGCAGCACCTCGGGCGTGCTGGAAGCACGTGGCGGTTGAGTCACGCTTGCTGCAAACCCTTTTCCTTGCAGCATCTCGCATTTTACAGCCGCTCTTGCAGAGTCTTTGCTGCCGGGCTCCGCACGTACGGCTTGTGCTTCGCACCCAACGAGCCCGTTTGCAACCGCTTGGCTGTTTGCAGGCGGCTGTTAAGCTTTGCACCGGGATACAAGACCTGCACACCCCATCTCCCCGCACTTCTCCCGAGGCTTTGGCACACAGATCTGCCCACAACTGCTGCATTTTGGTAGGTAGTTTGGAAAGTGCCAAGGACTTGAATCTCTTTCCCCCAGCAAATGTTCTCCTCCTGCTGCAAAAGCACCCAGAAGGCTCCTAGCACCCAGCCCCAGCATCTCCTAACGCTCCTTGTACCTTTTTGCACTCCTGCTTCCCTGTAATCCCAATCCCTTGTGCCACGAGAGGCCTTTTGGGTTTGCAGCAAGCAACTGTGGCCACCTAGCTCCCGTTAGACCTTGCCGTGCATTTTTAATTAGCAGCACGGATGCTCTCTTCCAGTGCTACTTTAATGCGTGTGCTTAGGAGGCAGATGTCTTTACCCGTCGTTGCTAATAGCCATGGCCCTCTTGCAAAGTCAAATTGGCCGTTTGCACAGCCCGGCTGCAGCTTGGTTATCATCACCGTGCAGGCACTCCTGCCTGTCTGCAGGTTGCTTTGACTCTCAGGAATTTACGGGATTAGGATCAGGAGCTCAACCTGATGGCCAGAGCCATGCAAGGAAACAAGCTTTCCCCCATGCAACCGGCTGTGGTTCTCTGCACCGGCTGTGCCGTACCTGTGAAGCACTCAGAGCCTCTCCCGGTGCAAGCAGAGGGTGCCCGGGGACACGGCCAGACGCGTGCCCATGCTTGTACCCGTAGCCCCTTGCAACCCGGTGCAACCTCAGCAACCGCCCGCACCAACCCCAGACCCTGCGAGCAACGTCGGCGGGGGGG